AACACCCATCGAATGGCTGGTGCTCGAATCCAAGATGGGAGATGTTTCTTGTAATTACACTTTTTTTCTTGTAAATAGGGAGAATATACTATGGTGAAAAAAATCAACCAGTTCCAAAAAGTTCACAGTGCAATCTCATAGCAGGCCATTGGCCATCCTGTAATGACCCTGGAAAGCAGCGCCCTGGCCCAGGGCATTGACCACCTTGAAATGACATCAACGTTCACTTCCCTAAAATGGGGATTATAGGGTTGTTTTAAAGGTGAAACTAGATATTATGCATTTAATGGCTTTTATTATTAGCACTTGATAATCCGAGCCCATTAGTTAATATTCGTGGATAGCCCCAGTGGATGGGTTTTGGTAAAGAATGAAGAAGCTGGATTTCAGAGTCTATACCACTGTCTTCTGCTCCCTTGGGGCTTAGGGGAATGGTGTGGGGACAGAATGGGAGGAGGGCTATGGCCCTGGGGAGCCCGCCCTGGAGGGTGGGACTACTGATTTGAGCTGAACCATCTCCTGCAGCGGGAAGTCAGTGGTTGAGTTTGACTGCAACCTGCAGAACTTGCTTCTCTAAAAGAGTCTTGGGATCTGCCTGGTAGACCTGGCAGAAGGGCTGATAACCTCTGGGCCAGGCTGCTTGGGTAAGCACCATCACTAAGGTAGTGACCTTGGTGAGTCATGACCTCCGAGCCTCTGCTTTCTCATCTGTAAAACGCGGACAATCCTGGGAGTGAACTGAGGGGGTCGAGAAAATTGTCTTAAATAATTGCAGTATCACAGTGCCAGGTACTGTGTTAATACGTGTGTATCTCAGTGAATTCCCACAGTAACTCTATGACGTAGGGCTACACAGCTGCTGGAGGGCCAGGCAGGGGAAGGGGCCGCAAAGGAGCATCTTAGAACGCAGAGTTGAACTTAAGTCACCTCCCTGCCATTAGGATGAGAAAACCCGCTCAGGGACGGGAAGTAAGTTGCCCAAGGTCACACAGATGATCGTCTTTTTAGGGCTGGAGCAGCGTCCCTGGTCTCTGGACTGCCATACCTCGGATCTGACACTCCCTTCAGACCCTAGCCTTGCCCCGATGGACACATCAAGGTGGCTTTTTGCTGGGTCGTCCTCTCCAATGGCAGGACGGCGCCCACACTCTCTGAAAACGGGGGCGCCGGTGTTCCGGAGCGCCTGCGGGCAGAGCTGCCCCGGGCCCCCACCCAGCCCGGGCGAGGGGGCGGCCGTGGGCGGCGGCGGCGTCCCCTGGCGCTGGCCGGCGAGCTTCCCTGTCGCCGCCGCGGCCTCCCTCCTCCTTCCTGGCGGCCGCCGCGCCGCGCGGGTGTTCAGTTTCAGCGCGGGGATGAGCGCAGGCTGCGCCCTGCTCCCCGAGGAAGGAAGGAAGAGAGAGAGGACTGCACGGTCCTCGGCCGGCCGGGGCCTGGCAGCGCCGTGGAGGGGGATCGGCCCCGGTCGCCTGCGCTGGGCGCGCGTCGGTCCTGCGCTGCCGAAGGGGACGCCCGGGGGCCGCGCTGCCGCCGCCGCCGCCGCCGCCGAGGGTAACCGCGGGCGCGCCGGGCGGGGCCGGGCGGGCGTCCCTGCGCTGCGCCCCGCGGGGCCCGGGCTGCCCGGGAGCCCCCGCTCCTCCGGGGCGCGCCGGGGCGGGGTGTGGGTCACCTCCCGCCCGCGGGCTGCGCAGCCCGCGTCGCGGAGCGGCTCTTTGTGTCCTCCCGGGGCTGCGTGTGAGTGTGTAGTGTGCGCGCGCGCCTTCAGCCCCGTCACCCGGTGCCAGCTTGCCCCAGGTCCCCCCACCCCCCGCCAAGACCTTTGCCCCAGGGGATGCTGCCTGAGGCGCGGGGGGAGTTCTCGCTAAGTTGGAGGGAAAAGGGCGAGGTGGGGTCGCCCCGCTTCCCGGGATCCCAGGCAGCGCCCCAAAGTTGGTGCTGCAGGTGCAGCGCCCCCTCCTACCCCGCTCCTCCCCAGCCGGCGCGGGCCTCGGGAGGCAGGAACCCCCCCAGAGGCTTAGTTCGGGGGCGCCTGGTTCTCATCCCCCAACTTGGAGGGTGCACTTCTGCACGGAAGCCGCCGGGGCGGTGGGTGGGGGGTTGTGGAGGGGCGCGGCTTTCCGGGCAAGGGGCGGCCAGGCGGAAGCCAGGCTGGCTGGCCGGTGGGGCGAGCTTAGCGGCCGTGGCACGGAGCCACGGAGCCGGGGCGCCCATGTGACTGCGGTGTGCTTTGGAAGAGGAAGCTGTAGAGGTCAGTGCAAAGGCGTCACGCCAGAGCGAGCGGGAGCAGGAGTGAGGGGGGAGACCCGGAATGAGCGCGGGGCGGGTGGCGGCTGCAGGGGCCCCGGACAAAGCCGCCCTGTCACAGCCACCCTGGCCGCGGACGCCTGCATTGGCCCCGCGGGAGGGGCGGCGGAGCCCGGCGGCCAGGAAGTGAGGGACACGGGGGAGGGGCCTCCCTAGGAGGGGCGGGGCTGGAAGCGGCACCCCCACGCTCCGGAGGGCCTCGCAGGATGCTGGAGGGCGACTTGGGAGGGCAGATCAGAAGCAAACACAACTTGGAGAACTTTCCTTGCACATAGCTGCCGCCGCTCCTAGTGATTACGTCCATGCGTGTGTGTGTGTGGGGGGGGGGGGGCGGGAATTGGGGCTGGGGGCAGGAGGTTGGGGGTTGGTGAATACGTGGGGCCGGGTCGCCCTTGGGCCCAAGAGCCACGCTCCGCTCCCCGCCTCTCCGCTGCGGGCGCCGGGGTGGTTATCCAGCTGCAGACTGAGGGAGGCACATCTCGCTCCACCCCACAAACACTTAAATTGTTTTCCCTAGGTTGTTTTCTGCTGAGGCCTGAAGGGGGTGGAAACCAAGGTTAGATTAAAAAAAGAAAAGAAAAAAGAATCCAGACGAAGAGGTGGTTTTAGGAAAAATGAGGACTAATATTTTGAAGTGGTGCTTGGAGAGGAGGCCGGTTGGTCCGTGGGGGTGGGGTGGGTTAGGGTTTCACCCCCTACTCCCCACTCCCAGTTCCTTGGAGAGAAGAGGGTCATTCTGGTCTTCAGAGTAGGGACCCGCGCGCGCGTGGAGGCGCGCGGTGGAGGCGGGAGGGTGCAGAGCGGGAGCCCAAGCTGGGACTCTAACAACCCCAGCGCCAGCCCCGCAGCCCCGCAGCCCGCGCCTGTCTTCGTGACAGGGCTGCGTCCTGTGCTGTCAACTACACCCCTCCGATGGGGTTGCTAGGCAGCGGGGCTCTGATGTGGGGGAAGGCCTTCTGATTTGTCAGCCTCCTGCAGACACATGGTTAAGGCTCCTTCCAGCCTATCCGGAGGAGGGACGCTGGGCACGCTGCCTGCATACTGCCGAGCCCCGGGTCCACCTGAATGTGAGGTGCAAAAGGCAGCTAAGAGGGAGGGGGCACCTGGAGCCCACCAGCCTCCTAACCAGCTCAGCCCCACCACCCCCATTATCTCCACTGGGGCTTGCTGCTGGCTCCTCCCTGTCTGTCCCTGCCCCGTTCTGTTCCTCCCCTCTTCCCCAAACCATGGAAAAGCAAAGTGCAGCGGGGAAAAGAGGTCAGTGGGGTAAGCATGTGTGTGTGGGCCTCCGGAGGTGCGAAGGTGCATGAGCATGAGCCGTGGGGTTGCTGCCCCCTCCGTGCTGCTGGTGGCTCTTGTGGGAAGGGGTGGGAGGGAAAGAGGGGGCCCCCCCGGCATTGCTGGCTGCCGGGCCTGGACTTGGAAGCCTGCCCTCTCCACCCCCACTGCCCCACCTCCCCTTAAGCTCTGCCCACCCCTAGGAGGGCAGAATGTCAGGGGAGGGGGGACCAGACTGGTGAGTTCCTGTAAGGAGGGGTGGGTTATCTGGCTGTTGCTAGAGCTCAGAAGGGGGGCTGCTGGCAGGTTCTGTCTCCTGAATTCACCTCCTCCACCCAAGCCTCTGAGGGTTGGGTTCTCCCCTCTGCCTGTCCACCACCCACCCCCAAGTGTCTCCTCTTAATCCCTTCACTTTTTTCTTAGCAGCTATATGGAGATAGAATTCCCATACCGTTCATTCATTTAAAGTGTACAATTCAGTGGTTCAGTGTGTTCATAGAGTTGTGCATTCACAGTCAAATTCAGAACATTTTTATCTCCCCAAAATGAAACCCTGTACCCACTAGCAGTCATTCCCCATCCTCACCCTCCACCCCCAGCCTCAGGCTTTGGCCACCTTGAATCTACCTTCTGTCTCTGTAGGTTTGCTTACTCTGGACAATTCATATCCAGGGAATTGTATACTATGATCTTTTGTGGCTGGTACCCCTGTCCTTTTGAGCTGCACTGCTCACTTCTCAGGCAGTTGCAGTTTGTCTTGCCGATTAACTTTTCCTGTGCGGTGCTCTATTAAGAATGTCCCATCCTCAAGGGCAGGGGTCTGATGCATTCTTAGGCATTTCTCTAGGTGCCGTACCTAGCTCTGGGCTGGACCATTGGTTGGCTCTCAGTAAATACTTATTGAATGAATGAAGAGATGGATGAGGACTGGTGATTGGAAAGCTATGCAGGTGGTTTACAGTGGAATTCCAGGGGCCCAGCTGCTGCACAGGGACGGGGGGGAGGGTGGCATCTTGGGAAAAATGGCAGGTACAGGAGCTGGGAAGGAGCAGAAAGGAAGCCTCTCTGGCTGGGGTGGGAGTGGGGGTGGGGGAAGAGTAGAAGCTGCCTGTGAGGGATAAACCCAGTGGCCTGTGGGTTGCCAGCTCTCTCCTGGGAACCTGAAAACCAAAATGCCTCCCCCAGCCTTGGGGGCAGGTGGCCAGTGCTTGAGATTCGTCATCTGATCACAGGGGCTTCCCCTGAGGGGAACTCCGATTAGAATTGGGTTTAAAAAGAAAAGAAAAGGAAAGGAAATTCCCCAGTGTTAGCATTTATAAAAAGGCAGCTGGTCAAGCATCTCTGAAGCTTTTGGCTCACCTCCTGTGATTCAGGCACTGAATTGTTTTTTTTTTTTCTGCTCCCCTGCTTCTGTGCCACAGGTACTGTCTGATGAGCGTGAAAGGCTGTTTCACTGACTTCCACATCGACTTTGGAGGCACTTCTGTTTGGTACCATGTTTTCCGGGGTGGGAAGGTGAGTTGAGCTGAGTCTCTTAGACTTTTGTCCAACCCTGGCTATTTCTTCATGGAGGGGCTCGCTCCATGCCCCTCTTTTCCCTGCCCCACGCCCAACCAGCTCCTACCCTGTGAGCAGTTTCAGGGCTACCTCCTCACTCTCTGTCTTCTGGAGAGAAGGATCAAGGTCAACTCCTTTGCATCACATCCAGTTACCCTTCACACATCTGCTTAGCCAGTCTAGTGTTCTAAGCACCTTAGGCCAGATTACAACTCTAGTTCTGGTTCCCAAGAACTCCCAGTATTCATTTTGCCTGCCCAGAGTCTCAGCCCAGAGACTGCTTAACTGAAAAGTCTAGTTGCTGGCACTACCTGCCTCCAGGAACATTTTATATGAGGCACAGACGTCTCCTGGAGAGAGGAGGTGGTGTGTGCATCCAGGATGCTCCTGCTGTGTTTGCTTCTGCGTGCACTCCATACGGCTGTTGGGATGCTCCTTGAGTATACGCTTGCCTCCTTCCTTGCCTGGGTCTATGTGTATGTTTGTTTTAACCAAACGTGTTGGAAGAAATTCTGGGTAGGAAGTCATTCTGCTTGGTTCCAGATGTTTTTCCTCCTTCTCCAGAGTGAGCACAGTCTGGGTTTATTTATTGGACCATTTTATCATATAATTTAGGAAATTCCCTTCTTTTCCTTCCCTTACCTCTCCAACAAGCCTGTGGCTCAGGAGAAAGAATGTTCCACACAGTCCAGGAACTCTACCCACCCTGGTGTTTCAGCGGGAATGGAGATTCCTTAAAGGCAGGCAGGTGTGACCCAGAAGGGCGGCACCCCCTCCTCACCATCCCAGAGACCCGTTGGGCCCAGTCCTGGAGGTGGTCCCCTATCCTCCCTGCTCCTAGGCTTGTGGGGCTGTCTCCTTGGGTTGTGCACAGCCTGAAAGAAATCCAGGACTTTGACCCAGATCTTCAGCTCATTGCCTCCTTTTCCTCCCAAGATCTTTTGGCTGATTCCTCCAACCCTGCACAATTTGGCACTGTACGAGGAGTGGGTGCTGTCAGGCAAACAGAGTGACATCTTCCTGGGAGACCGTGTGGAGCGATGCCAAAGAATTGAGCTGAAACAGGGCTACACGTTTTTCATCCCTTCCGGTAGGTTTCAGCAAGACTCGTGCTGGGCTCTCCCTCGGCCCTTGGCTCTCCCAGACACCAGGTGAAGGCTCCTGCATCCCTGTGGCCTCAGCCACGGTGTTGGGCCAAGTGATGGGGTTCTGTGGGCCTGGTGGCCATTGGCAGTCCCTGAGAGGAGACGGCCTCTGTCCCTTTCACATCTCACCTGTGTCTCCCTGCCTGTTGGCTAGAATTCACTCCTGGGAAAAAGCCCAGGGCCTCCCTCAGGGAAGCATGAATGGCTTTCCCAGGACTTCCTGTGGAGATTTCTGTGTGAGGGGATGACAGTGGTACTGTGGGGAGGGGTCTGGGTTCACCCCCTTGAAGGAGGAATTGGGTTGTTTTACCCAAGGAAGCGCAGTGTATGGTAATGGCAGTCCCAGGCAGGTTCTGGGGGGGAAGGGTAGATAGACCCCAGGGTGGGGGGTTTTACAGGCGTGCCTGAAAGCCTAGGAAATGGGCAGAAGGGAATATACCTTTTGGAAAGGGCCCAACATGGCAGCCTCCCTTCTGCGGATCAAGGTGAAATGTAGTTGGAGGTCAATGTCAGCTCTTACATTTGGACTCCCTCCTTCCCCTACCCCCAAAAAAATTAAGAAGAAAAGGGAAAAAGAAATCAAGGCTACAAGTATAGTAGAGGGCAGTTATTAAGAGCGCCAGCCCTGGAGCCAGACTACATGGCCTTAGTTTGAATTTTAGCTCTGGTGCTTACAAGCTGTGACTTCCTAGAAATGACTTTACCTCTCTGTGCCTCAGTTTTCATGTCTGTAAAATGGGAGTGAGACTTCCCAGGGTGGTAGTGAGGACTGAGTGAATGAAGAACTACATGCCTACAGCTATTTGGTGATGGACTGAGGACTTCTGGGCAATTGCAAGCTAAGGCACCAGTGAGCATGACATGCCCTAGGGGTTAGGGAGTGCAGTCCTTGGCTATATTAACAGTAACATTTTCCCCAAGATGAGGAAGGTGACAGTCCCACTGTTGAGAGGAAGGGGGTCAGGTCACATAGAGCAGGTTGTGTTCCTTTTGGTTACTATACTTTGGAGAGTAAGTTGACCTGGAGATAGGAGTCTGGATGTCACATCAGGTGAGATGAATTTGAAGGAGGAATTGAGTGGATTTTACCCAGAGAAGCAAAGCAGGTGTATGAGAACAGCAGTCAGCTAGTTGAAAGGTTGTCTCTTAGAAGAAGAGGTCCAGCCACGCGGTGTTGGAATGACTCTGGTCTGCTAGGTAGTGAGCTCCCTGTCACTGGGTATATATAAGTAGAGGCTATATATAAGGCTGTGCCAAGGAGCCTGCAGGGAATTTGCCACTGAGTGTGGGCTTGAACCTTACGAGTATCCTTTGAAGCAACTAAGATCTATTGGATGGAGAAGCTGGTCACACTTAGGTTTCTGAGAGTTGAGTTGGAAGCTGGCCTTGGGTCTGGACATGAAGCACTATGGTAGCATCTTCCACTGAGGGGATGAGGCCTGCACACTTGTACTCTTCTAGAAAGTTGGGCAGAAAGTAGAGATTTCAATATTAGGGAAATTGGGGATTTGGAAGTGGCAGGGTGTAGTGGGGGTGACTTTGTTGGCATGGCTCCAGGTCCATCCTCAGACTTGAGGAGAGGAAGGACTCCTATGTAGGACAGAATGGGTTGTAGTTGGTGGGCAGCATTTATGGTACGTACCCTGGCAGATGTGGCACAGAAGCTCGGGAAGGTAGTGGTACCCTTCTCGAGTGTGTTCAAGCCACTCATTAGGTGTTGGAAGATTGGCCATGGTAGATGCAAGGGAACTCGATAATGCTCTTGGCTTTGCTGCTGATGCTCATTGTGACCTTGGGCTGGTCTCTTCCCCTGTCTGTGCCTCAACTATCCTATCTCTACAATGAGTGGGGTGGGGCTGAACTGTGGAACCCTTAGAACCCTCCCAACCTGGCCCCCCTGAGTGCAGGCCTCCTAACCTCCCTGGGAGGACAGACCTCCTTTTTTCAGGGCCTTTTTGCAGAGCGGGGAGGTGGCTCATTGCTTTCCTTTAGTCTGGGATGGGAGGGGTGTTCATTTTGGTGACTTAGCAAGTTGGAAAGGGTCTTGCGAAGCGACATTGGAGCTCCAGCAGGGGTGTGACTATCTGCTGAAGGCAAGAGGAGGATTTGAACTGCAGCTACTGGGCTGAGTGAGACCCCAGCAAAGACTCCTGGCCCCGAGGGTTGTGAGTGAGATGCCAGCCTGTTCAGGAAGTGGAAAAGTGGACAGTTAAAATTTGTCACCTTCTCAGGGGGAGGGGGTACGTATGGTACCCAGGCATTGATTTCTGCAGGGACCAATGAAATTAAAAAAAAGAAAAATGGGAGCTTGTAGTTATAAACTTGTAGTTTTGCTAAAGACGGGTGTTAATTAAAAACAAAGCAAAACAAAAACACCCTGGCATCTACTATTGCTGATTTTCACAAATGGAAGATGACGCTAAAAAAGTTGGAAGTACATGATTTCAGAATAAAGGACAGTTCTTTAAATCTGACAGTTTTGAGTCTATGAAAAATCTGTGCCATCTTCATTTTTCCCATTTTGTTGCCAACCAGTGAAAACTGAGGGGCCGGAGTTATGTAGTCACAGAAGTCATTGGGCACCTGGGGATTCTTTCCAGCCCCAGCGCCCCCTGCGCTGTGGACAGACACATATCTGGGGGTTGGGAGAGTTGGAGTGTGGCTTTGGGTGAACAGTGGAGAGCTAACCTTGGAGAAGCCGGCGTCTCTCCATGTGGGTTCTTTTTTTTTTTTTTTAATAGTTTATTTATTTATTTATTCATTCATGAGAGACACAGAGAAAGAGAGAGGCAGAGACACAGGCAGAGGGAGAAGCAGGCTCCATGCAAGGAGCCCGATGTGGGACTTGATCCCGGGTCTCCAGGATCACGCCCTGGGCTGCAGGCGGCGCTAAACCACTGCGCCACCAGGGCTGCCCCATGTGGGTTCTTCTGTATCAGGAGTAGAGAAGCTAATTCTGGCATTTCTCACCTCTGACCTCCCACCATGGGTCTTTGTCACTACAATGCAACCTTGGACCTGTGTCCTCGTACCTCATGCTGGCCTCACATCTCCCTGTGGGTCATTTAGCAGGTCTTCAAAGCTCTAAGTTAACCAGGAAGTTGCTAGGTTGGGATGGTTTTAAATGTTACAGTGTCTTTATGAGATGTGGTTTAACTCTTTTTTCTTGTGTGTGGCCTGGGTACTGGCTGTGCTGCAGGGGTGACAGTTCTCAGGCCCCATTCCTGGGTGGTCTGGAAAAGCTGCCTGGAAGAGGAAGACTTGAAGGTGGCTGGGGAATGTTATCTGGAGAAAGAGGTGCGGGTTTGTCCTGTTGATGAGGCAGAGGCAGTGGGAATACAGAGGCCTCACCAGGGTGCACACAGCCAGGGGCAGGAGTGGCTGGCAAATTACCCAGACTTAGCCTGATCATTAGGTGGAAGGAAAACTTGAGGTGGAAATCATCCCCAAGAAGTGGGAAGTCAGATGGACCCAGTGACATCTTTTTCCTTCATGTGATGTGACCTGTGGCCAATGCCCTGACCATGCTGATGCGCTCAGCCTCCCCCTCTGGCTGCACCAGCTTCAGTGAACTATGGCTAATGGTAATAATAACTCATATTACTGAGCGACAAATATTTTACATACGTTACTTACTTTCTTCATAAGCAATGGGAAGAAACTTATTTCTTTATTTTTATTTATTTTATTGTTTTTTAAAGATTTTATTCATTTATTCAAGAGAGACACAGAGAGAGAGAGGCGGAGACACAGGTGCAGAGGGAGAAGCAGGTTCCTCACAGGGAGCCTGATGTGGATTCCATCCCAGACCGGGATCACGCCCTGAGCTGAAGGTAGATGCTCAACTACTGAGCCACCCAGGCATCCTGAAACTTATTTCTTTAAACAAAGAAGATTCATGGGGGTGCCTGGCTCAGCGGTGGTAGAGCAGGCAACTCTTAATCTCGGGGTTGTGAGTTTGAGCCCCACATTGAGTGTAGAGATTAGTTAAAAAAAAATCTTTTTTTAAAAAAGTTTTTATTTATTTATTCATTCATGAGAGACACAGAGAGAGAGGGAGAGAGAGGCAGAGACACAGGCAGAGGGAGGAGCAGGCTCCATGCAGGGAGCCCGATGTGGGACTTGATCCCAGGTCTCCAGGATCATGCCCTGGACTGAAGGTGGCACTAAATCACTGAGCCACTGGGGCTGCCCTAAAAAAATCTTTTTAAAAAATCTTTTTTTAAAAAAATATTTTATTTATTTATTCATGAAAGACACAAAGAGAGAGAGGCGGAGACACAGGCAGAGGGAGAAGCAGGCTCCCCACAAGGAGCCCAACACGGGACTCGATCCCAGATCTCGGGATCAAGCCCTGAGCCAAAGGCAGATGCCCAACCACTGAGCCAGGCGTCCCTTAAAAAATCTTAAATAAGTTTCCTGAGGCCCAGAGAGGTGAATGAACTAGTCCAAGGTCACACAGTTAATAAGCAACAGAGCAGGGCAAGAGCCCAGATGTGCCTAGTTTCAGAGTTGACCTGGTTCTCGTTCTCCATTAGCCTGGGAGTCAGCAGACTTATGATCTGGTCTCCCTTCTCAGCTATGTGACTTTGGGAGAATTTTTTGCTCATTTAACAAACTTCCTTAAGGGCCCACTTGGCAGTGTGGAAAGTGATAGGGGGGGACTATAAGACAGATTCTCTCTGTTTTGAATTCATGTCCAGCCAGGGAGCAGCCAGGATGGTGGAGGCCAGTATGGGGACCTGGGAAGGACCCTGAGGTCAGTGGCTTGATCTGGCCTGAAAGTGTTTCCCATCTTTGCCTTGTATTAAGAATCACCCATGACCTAGGGGCGCCTGGGTGGCTCGGTTGAGCATATGACTCTTGATTTTGGCTCAGGTCATGATATCTAAGTGATGGGATCAAACCCCACATTGAGCCTATGTTGGGCTCCAGGCTTGGTGAAGAGTCTGCTTAGAATTGTTTTCTCTCTCCCTCATCTTTTCCCTCTGCTCCCCCTGTATTCTCTCTCTCTCTCCCTCTAAAATAAATAAATAAATAAATAAATAAATAAATAAATAAATAAATAAATAAATAAATAAATATTAAAAAAAGAAAGAAAGAAAGAAAGAATCGCTCATGACCCCAAATTCAGGGGTAGCCCTAGGTGTTTTTCGTAGTCTTGGGACATTCTGAGAAAAAGTAACCTGAAGCTACTCAATAGGGTAATGTGGCTTGGGCCTCAGATGATCTGCCTGTAAAATGGGTAGAGAGTAGAGAGATGGTAGCAGTGAAGCAGGCTAGATGTGAAGCGGAGGAGTTGGGGCTCCAGGAAACCAAATGTTTGCTGCTCATCTCTAGCCAGTTAAAGTTGGATGAAAATGGCCTAGTGGGCCCACCTTCCTGTTTTTCTAGAGAAGGAAATAATTTAGATTATCTTGTGAAATTTCCCCATTTTTGTAACACAGGTGAATCAAACTAAACATACTCCTGAGTCTACCGCAGTCTGTGACCTGCCAGTTTGGATCATTGGTACCAGCTGTGAGGTCCTAGAGAGGAGAGGCTGCACCTTGGCAGCTGGCCTGCCCAGCCTGGGGCCTGGCCCAGCTCAGGGAGTCCATGAAGGAAGCAGGTCTTGGCCCTTTGTGAGGTGCATGACTTTTGGGTTTACCCTTACAGCAGCCACAAAGACAGACAAAGGTGGATGGGGGCGGAGGGGGCTTTGGTATCTGAATCCTGAGTGTCTGGGTTGTGGGTGAGAGAGGCTCCCTGTGCTCCACTGGCCCTCAGGTCCCAGAGAACACCTGTCAGTAGGTTTTGTGGGTCGCCTGCTTTCCTTCCACGATTGGATCTGTACCCTGTCTCTTGGCCTGAATTGCCTCTGTTATTGCCTTCGTATTGCTGGTGACTCTGGCCTGAAAGCATGCACAAGGCAGATACCAGCCCCCCCAGCCCAGTCACCAGCATGGGACACCTGCTCTCTCATGCTTACTGGGTGCAGCTAAGGAGACATCACCAGGAGGGTGGGGATGGATGGAGTCTATGAACGCTGTTGTTTCCCCTCCCTGGTTCTTCTGGAGGGGAATGTTTAAGTCATGGAGCAATCTGAGGAAGGCTCGGGGGAGGAACTTGGCAGTGACTGATCCATTTGAGGCTGCCTGACCCACCTGTGAGGTCCTGGCTTGGGGGATAGAGGGGAGTGGGTAGAAGTTTCTAGAACCCCTTGAAATGCCTGGGGGCATAGATTTCCTGTCACTCCACTTGAAACAGAATCTCTCTTCTATTTCCTGCTTTGCTCACACAGCAGGGTAACAGGTTGGGTGTGTCTGCATTTTCTACCTGACAGGACAGAAGGGAGAGTCCAGGGCTGATAAATGCAGATTTACGTGGGTATCACTCTTTGCAAACCTTCAGGGAGGAATGAGATGACCACAAATATCAGTGGCAGTTGCTTACATGGACTGAGTTCTTGCTCACCAGGTCCCCCACAGGGGAGGCAATGATCTCCCTCATTTCACGTGGGCAGATGGAGGCCAGGAGAGGGGATAGTCTAGTGCCCCCTATTGCATAGTGAGTCAGCCATGGAACACTTTTCCCCGGAGGTCTGGGGAGCTTGGGCTTTCTCTAGGGCTCTGCGTCAGCATGTGAGGAGCATAGGAACAGGACCCAGGAATCTTTGCCCCATTCAGGCTTTACCCCACCATATGCATCTGCTTGACCTCGGCGGTCCTAGGTCTCAGTTTAGGAAATGTTGCTTAAGTAACATTGATGGTGGTAACAAGAACAGTAATAGTGTAGCTCTGCTCAGCAAAAATATTAAAAAAAATGTACAGCTGAGAAAATCAGGTGCTCCACAGCTGAGGTGGAGAGGCAGAAGCAGATGTGGAAGCCAAGTCGGCAGCCGTACTTGTCCTGCACAGAGGTGCGAAGGTATCGGGAAGGTGCCCAGGTGTTGGCAGGAGCGCACCTGCCCAGTGGAGCCAGCAGTCTGGGGAGCTGACAGCAGAACCAGGTTACACAGAGTCTTAGTTCTTGTGCTCTGGGCTGGTGGTTCCCCTGGCCTCCCCCATGACTGCCTGCTCATCCCACTCCCTGATGGCTCAGCACCCTGAGTGTCCCACAGATGGTGTCCATGGCCACCTGTGGCTGCCTGTGACCCGGGGTTGGCATCTTTTCGGTGGAGGTATAGGGGCTCTGCAATTGTCCTTCAAGCAAACAAATGATTCACATGAGTTGGAGAAGAGGGGCCAGGAAAGAGAAGACGTGGGTGCCAGGGCTCAGGATCCTGGGGCTTGGGTTGTCCTGTCTGTCACCTTTGTCCTGTGCTGACCCTGTCTTTCACCATGAGTCTCTCCGCCTCTGTCTATCCTTGTCTCAGCTCTATCTCTCTTGTTTCTCTCTGTGTGTCTCTTTGCCTCCCTGGCATGTTTGCAGTCCCTTTTCCTGGGACCTGTAGGCCTGGTGCACTAACCAGTGCAGAACGGGTTAGGCCTGGTGCACTAACCCGTGTAGAACACCAGTACAGCATAGCCATCAAAAACGGAGGCACTGTGTGCTCGCTTCGGCAGCACATATACTAAAAACGGAGGCGCTGTCACTTAGTAGTTGTGGCTTCATTCAGCAAGTCACTAACCTTCTCCTAGCCTTCGTTTCGGCATCTGTAAATGGGAGTGGATTATAATCCTGCCTGTCCCCTAGCTCTGCACTATTACTATAGGCGGGGGTGCATGTGGGTCTGTTGAGCTCTTGAAACATTCCTTTGCCAAAGGAATCAGGTGGCTTGATTTGTCTGGCCTTCACAGACCGAACAAGGCGACACCCTGGGTTCCAATCATTATAACTTCACTTTTCGGTGTGTCGGGCAGGCATGTGTCTGGATCTTGTAGTTCTGGCAAGATGTCACTCCTGAGTTGTGGCCTCAAGCAATCCTTCGTGACTCCTCCTGAGACTGGTGGTCTCTGGGATTCTGAGGGGCGGGTGAGCACCCTGAATGAGAGGGGTCCAGCTCCCTGGCCAACAAGGGAGGGAGACAGGGCCTGCCTCTGTTGGCTGCTGCGGCCAGGCCTGCAACAATATGAGGAAGCCTTATCAAGGCCATCCAGCCGCCTACCACCGTCTTGAGCCAGCTAAGGGTCCGTGCCTGCAGCGGTCCATCAAGGCTGTGTGTCTGAGACCTGTCAGCCAGCCAGGAACCCTGCCTTCTGCATCAGGCAGCCCGAGTATCCTCAGTTCTGGCCCTGGTTGCTCACTGAACCTCCTGTGCCCTTCTGCATGCTCCATAGGTGACCCTCCCACCCCAGTGGTCCAGGAACCAGTGGCTGATCCTCTCTCTATGCCCTCCCCACCCCAGGTTGGATTCATGCAGTCTACACTCCCGTAGACTCTCTGGTATTTGGTGGAAACATCCTGCACAGCTTTAACGTGCCCATGCAGCTGCGGATCTATGAGATCGAGGACAGAACACGGGTAAGGCCGCTTCCTTCTCTCCTCGTGGGGTTGCCCGGCCCCTGAGCTCTGTCTGGCGCTCAGGGTATGTGGGACAAGTGGTTCCAGAGTCCTCCTTGGTCCCCCCTCCCTCCTGTTCCCTGCCTCAAGCAGGGTCTTGGTCCTTGCAGGGGCTGTTGGCAGGAGTCCCACCCAGAGCCCCTGGAGTTTCTGTTCAGCTCCAGGCTAGTGGCGGCCAAAACCCCCTTCTCAAAGAGGAAGTATCTTTTGAGAAAGCACTGTGAAATATCAGGAACCCTGCCTCTTTCTTCTCCTGTGTTGGGAGGGATGCAAAGGAGTTGGGCAGGGGATTTTGTGGTTATTACTGCTGTGGTTCAGAGGGGGGCCTTGGAAAGGTCAGCTCTTGGGCGTGTGTCCCCTCCATCCAGGGACCCCAAATGTGAAGTAGTGCCCTGAGGAAGGCAGTACCTGTGAGTCCCTCAGGATTGGCTCTGAGCTCTGTCTCAGTGTCTTGCTTGCAGGGTGGGGTGGGGTGGGGGTGTGGAGGCTTTTCCTCTTGACGGTGACAGTAACATGTAGGGTCTCCCTGACCTCCACCACCCAGGACTGGGCGGGGGGATGCTGAGGCTTAGACACCTGACCCGGTGCTCCTCTCCACTCCGCTCCATGAGCTTCCTCTGGAAAGTACTGGCTGCTTGCATCTGCACCCTCTTCCCATTGTGGAGTTTGGCCAAGTGTCCCTAGACATTTGAGACAGATTTGAGGGAGGGAACGGGCCAAGACAGTGCCCATTCTTTCTTCTTTTTTCTTATAGTTATTCAAATATTCATTTCTTTTTTTTATTGAGATAGAAACCGCATATCATAAAATTGACAGTTACAATGCCCAGGTCAGTGGCATTTGGCGTATATTCACATAGTTGTGTAACCACCACTCTAATGCAAGGATATCTTCATGCCCCAGAAAGAAACCTTCTACTCATCAGCAGTTACCTTCTGTACCACACCTCCCTCCCCACCGACCTCCCAAGCCTTTGGCAACCAACACTCTGCTTTCTGACTCTACGGATTTGCCTCTTACTGGACGTTCTATAAACCGAATCATATATTGTGTTCTTTTGTGATTAGTTGCTTTTACTTCTCATGATGTTTTTAGGGTTCATCCATGTTGTACCATGGATCAGTGCTTTGTTCCTTTCTGTGGCTGAATCAGAGTCCATTGTATGGATAGACCATACCACGTCTTCTTGGATTTTGCCCCAGATGACTTTTTTTTACCCTGGGGAGGTACTGTCATGCCTGGACTCTGAAGAAGCATCTCATTGAGGCAGATGCCTTGGGCCCAGGGTCCCCACCTTTCTTGGTCTTGTTTATAGGCCCTGATCTGCACAAAATCACATACATGAACCAAAATCTTAGCTGCTGTGTATCTGACTTCTCTAACAGTCTCGACGTTGAGGGACCTTGTCTGAGGGTTTCCTGGGAACAACCTTGAGCTGTATTCAGTGGTCAGGTGTGCTGACAAGGGCAACTGCACATCTTCAGATTGATGGGTTTGCTGCTGGGATGCCTGGATCTGCAGAGACAGTCTTGTTTTGTGGATTTTCTCTGTTGCCTGCCTACCATCCCTTTTCCGGTCTGGGGGAGGCCAGCCGCAGCCAGCCCTGGTCTGGTGGATGCTTCTCTGTGGCTTTCTGGGTGTGAGTGGTCATCTCAGTCTGGGTCAAGTGCTGTCTGGGGCTTCAGCCAACTGTTCTTTGGCCAGCCCTGAAGAATGGGCCAGTTTGCGTGTGAGCAGACTTGGGGGGGGGGGGGTGTATGGGATAGAAAAGAAGAAATCTAGAAGAAGTGAGGCCCACGACTTTCTAGCCAATTCCTGAAAGCCAGAATCAGACTGGGATTTCTAAAGGCTTTGGCAACTTGCTTGACAGCTGTCCCCCTCCCCTGGGGAATCCGAATTGTATATCTCCGTGGATTTGGGCCCCATGATTCCATCAGGAGCCCAGCTCCCCTCCCCTGCTTGGTGGGAGGTGGAAGGGAGGGTAACAGTGTGGAACCCCCAGCATCACACTGAGTGCCTGTAGGATATCATGCCCATGTTGAGATAAGCACGGCAGGGTTCCCCCCCCCCCAACCAAGGCCCACCGTCCCTGTTGTCTGAGTAGGCGCCCCACCTGGTTTCCCTGAGGCACGTTGATGGGTGGGGGGCTGGTGGGCAGGCTGGCGGGCAGGCTGGGTTGGAAGCAGCGGCAGGCTGTTTAATCTGCTTTGATTTCTGGTCTTTGGAGAGGGCTTGGCTACAAGGCCCAATTGTTTATGTCTTAGGAGCCAAGGCAGACAAAAGATGCTGGGGAGAGAGCACTGGAAGCCAGATAAAATGCCAGGGCTCCTTGTCAGCTTGCTACAGCTTAATTCCTTACATCCCTGCGAGCTTTCTTAAGAAGGTTATGGCCATTTAAAAATAGTTTTTCAAGAGTCCCTAAAACAGGGCTTTGCTTGGAAACCAAAGGCAGGGGCTGGGACACAAAACTGTCAATCTTTAAGCCTCATGGTGTGGATTTGTCTTAGAAAAAGAATTTGCCTTTGCGGCCCAAAGTGAGGACCCTTTCCATCCAGACCAGGGGAAACCCAGCAGTCTCCTATGTTTAGGAAGCCATGTCTTAAGCATAAGGATTTTAATATTGGGGGGGGGGGGTTGGATGATAGATGACTTCACCCTGCTGCCCCTGTGGCTCTGTCCTGCCAGGGCCTGGTGGTTTCTCTGTGAAGAAACCCACATGCGTACTGCCCTGTGCAGATTAAATCCTCTCATTGTAAAGACACAGGGGGCAGAAGGAACGACACCAAGGAATGGATGTGTTGCATGTTTATTATTTGAAGATAACGTCTCAACAACTATCACGACATATTTTTTAACTCCAGTTAGCTTGATGAGGAACAGGGATGGTCCAGTCGATCATTCATTAAACTGCCGTCTCTCTTATGTTTATCTTTTTTTTTTTTTTCCTAATGGCTCTAGTGAAAGCAGCTTTCTCAGGAAAGGTAACGCCGCACGCTCCATTCCCCCTCAGCCAGTGAATATCTATTTGGAAATCGCAAATAATTTTCCCTTCCTTTCCTCTTTTCCTCTACCATTGGATTTTTTTTTCCATTGACTTTTTTTTTTTTCCAGGAGAAAAACAAATTTTAAGACTCTTCCACCCACCCTCATATTTTAGTTTTTCAAGTCCCTTGAGACCTAGGAGATTTAGATGCACCAAAATACCTTTGGTTCTGATCTCCTAAAGTCACTCAGCTGTTAGAGGAGGGGCTAAGGCCAAGTGCTACTCTCAAGGGCCTTTGGGAACTCACAGCTACTCCTTGAGATCTGCAGATATAGACTGATTCCCCCCGACCCCCCAGGCTGGGAGCGCTGCATGCTTTCTGAATGCCTTGCCTTTCGGTGAACAGCTCAATTTGGTGAGGCTCCGAATTTGTCAACAAATAATGTTGAGCAATCGTGTGTTTAATGTTCCCAGGCATGTGGCTGAAACCTTTTGGAGGCGAAGGGTGGAAGGCGACAACCCGTTTGTAAGTCAATTCTTTGCAAATTTTTGTTTCCTGCGGTGCTCTCTTGGAAAAAAAAAAAATAAATAAAATGAAAAATTTTGAATTCCTTCATCAGCATTTGTTTTCACTCAGCTGGTTTCCCTTGGGTTCAGCAACAAGGAGGGGAGACTTCTCTTCCTCCTCTCCTGACGTAGAGCCAAAAAAAAAATATTTTTTTTTCCTGATCTAGAAAGATTCTTGGGCGCTGGTTGTGCCCATCAGTGCAGAGCGGCTTGCATGGTTTCCCAAAATTTGAAAGGACAAAAGCAACTTCAGAGATTTGCCAATCGAATCTGAAGTCAGGAGATGTGAATGAGGGTGGGAGAAGAGGTGGGCCTGCCCGCCCTCATCCTGCTCTGTTGGTATTGGCAATTGGTTTCAAAATCGTCGCTTGGTCCTTGCTCTGGAGCGGGGGTAGGGCTGAGGCTCCCAGACCCTTCTTCACAGGAGGTCAGGCTCTGTCTCAGTCTGAAGTGCCCCTCTCCTTATAAACTCAGAAGGGCATTGATCCAGTGACGGTGAAAAAGGATGAATGCTATCTCAACATTAAAGCCAGGGTTCTCAGGAATGTAGCTGGAGCCAAGGAAACCGCTAGATGTTCCCAACTCCATGCATTCCCCCGGAGGAGCTCAAAAGCATGCGGCGGCCAGGATCTCATTCCAGCACACCCCATCCACCAGAGGTGGGGAGGTCAAATGGATCCAATAAGCAGATGGGAGAAGCAAGACCCCCAACGTGGGCAACCGTGGGCCTCACGGTTGAAAACTAAGTCAGTGGGGCCTGGGGTGGCTGGGGGGACTGAGCTGGGACTCTCAGGGCAGAGTTGGGGATTTTTCCAGGTGGTCATTGTGAGAGGGTCAGGAAAATGCTATTTTAGGGCACATGGAGGTCTTAGGTCTGCTTGTCTTTGCCTTTATCCCACATGTAGAAAGTTGCCTGTAGGCTGTCGCAGGGAAAGGTAGGAGGGTGTCTTGGCTTGACATCCAACTCCCTGGGTTTCTGGAAGTTAGGAGAGGTGAAGAGGGGTCTCTTGCACAAGCAGAAGTTCCTGGAGGCAGACACACCCTTGGCGAGAGGGCAAGAGAGCGGGCCCGGAGTGCATGTGGATGTGCAAGATCTATGGGTTCAGGATGAAGTTTCCAGAATGTTCATCAGTGCAAGGCCATCAGTGGAATTGCTTCTTTGCCATCTTTCTTTGTCATCTTGTCCATTTAGACCCCGTGCTTCCACCCATCAGAATCCTCCTGGAGCCCAGGGCTTTTCATAGTTCTGATACACAAAGCTATCTGCACCTACACTTCCTCCCCTCAAAGAAATGGCCCAAAGGGGAGCTCCCTCTGGGCTCCTGCTCCAGACCCAAGCGTGTGTCTCCTGGTGTTAGAGCCGTCTGGGTCACCCTGGGGACCTGTGTCCAAGGGAATCTTCTGGGAGTACAGGTGGGGCAGTGCCAGGTGGTTGTCCGGGTGGAGCAGGGGTGGGACCGTCTGAAGCCCCTCCCCCTGGGGTAGGAGAGGCCACATCCCCTCCCTCCTCATTGGCCGCCCCCTGTGCCTCCCTACCCAGAGTGCAGGAGATGCTTGGTAGCCGGTTTGCAAATGGGTAAGGTTTGGGGGTGTGTGTGTCAATTTCTGTCTTTCAAGGGGCAGGGAGCATAGCAGAGTCTGTGCAAGAATTTTTGAGAACGAGGAGGAGCCTGTGTTTGTTGTAGCTGGAATCAGGCTCAGATCTGCAGGTACCCGCACCCTCTGTCAGCAGGTCAGGGAACAATTCTTGTTTCTCTGCATCTCACAGAAGCACAAAGTGGACCCCAGTCCGCCTTCCCCTGGTGCCCTGTAGCTCAGGGGGCTTTGAAATGATGCTCTCACCTAGGCCTCTTTTTCCCCTCTTCCTCTTCATTTATGCATGCTACTGGTATCTTGCCCCTTTCAGCGCCTCTCTCCTGCCTTCCAGCTCCCACCTCCCCCATTTTTCCTCCTCACACCATTTGTGCTCTTGTTAAGATGGTGAAAATAACTCCTACCCGCAGAACCCCGCCCCCACCTCCCCATTTTCTCCCTTGGTTCTCCTTTGCCTTACAGAAGTTGACTTCCAACCTGGGTCTTTGCTTTCAGGTGCAGTCCAAATTTCGTTACCCCTTCTACTATGAGATGTGCTGGTATGTCTTGGAAAGATACGTGTACTGTGTGACCCAGCGGTCCTACCTCACTCAGGAATACCAGAGAGAATCCATGCTTATTGGTGAGTGCAATGTGGGCCCAGCCGCTTCCACTGCTCAGCTGGGCAGGAAGAATTTTTTCAGTGTGGCCCTTGAGAGTCTCTGGGTTCTTGGAATTCTTTTGAACCAAAGTGTTGGGCAGATTCGTAGAGACCCCTTAGGAGGGGAAGCCATCTTTGTCACTGTCCCATTTGGAATACAGAGTCCAAGAAATTGAAAGTGTGATCCTAACAGAGTCACCTTGGTGGCCTCCAGGTCATGCTGAGGAGTCATTCCCAGGCATGGTTGCTGAAACAGGATCCCTACAGAGCAAAGAATCCTGGTTGTTTTATTCCTCCGTGGCCACCAGCTGATCCCCTATTCTCAGCCCTCCGCTGCACCTAGGGGTTGGATTTTTGTCTATATAGGAACAGGCCCATGGGATGCAGCCAATCCCCCAAAATCTGAGGCCAGCTTGGAACCAGCGGGGAGGGGTGACCAGAGCTGGAGACACAAGCATGGCAGAGCTTTGGGTGGTTCTGACAGAGGCAGGGGAATAGCCTTTAGAGCCATGGCTGCTGCAGGGAGCCCTGCCTTAATGCCTTTACTTAAAGGGACATCACCCCCCAAATGGCTTGATCCTGGAATCTAGACTTCTAGATGCCTGCCTGAACTTGCCTGTAACTGTGCCAGTGAGCCCTGAGGAGCAATCTGGAAGAACATGGGTCTTCCCCCGCTGCCTCTGAGCTGAGGGGTTTTCTGGATCCAGAGTTGCTGAGACTCATTTACTGCTTCTTTCTCTTTTTTTTTTATTTTTTTAAATATTTTTTAAATTTTTATTTATTTATGATAGTCACAGAGAGAGAGAGAGGCAGAGACACAGGCAGAGGGAGAAGCAGGCTCCATGCGCCGGGAGCCCGACGTGGGATTCGATCCCGAGTATCCAGGATCGTGCCCTGGGCCAAAGGCAGGCGCCAAACCGCTGCGCCACCCAGGGATCCCTACTGCTTCTTTCTCATCACAGGATAGAAAAATAGGATCGATCTGTCTCCTGTAGGGTCTACACAGTTTCTCCTGCAATCTCCATGATTTTTAGATTCCTTATTATTTTTTTTTTTCTCATTGTAGAAAGCCTCTACCCTCCTTCCCTTGACTCTCATCCTTAGTGACTTTTTTTAGAGCTTTCAGATTGGGCATATGATGGAGAACAAATAGTTCTCTCCTGAACTATTTGTAATAGAACTCAGCAAAATAGTTCTGCTGAGGTCTGTATCGGGAAGTGGTTATTTACTTCCTAGAAATTCAGTTTTGCCTGGGGAGTCTCTTATGGGTCTCGTACATGTCAGATGATGCAATATTCAGGTGTTGAAAAGTCCTGAAACCCCACAACCTGCTCTTTGGAAGCTCCCAGCCTGGTAGGAAATGGGAAGTTAGTCTGAAATAATGAGGGTGACCCCTGTGGTTGTAGTAGCTTACACATTCCTGTGAGGACCAGAAGTTTGATTTTTGTGGCAGTCCTCAGGACCAGGAAACGGAGGGTCACTTCTCTCATTTGGATATTTTAGAGCTGTAGAACATTCCCAATTCCATTCATAGGCACCAGAGGAAAGCTTGAGGCAGCTTTTGCATTGTTGATGCCTGCTTTTTTCTTGAAATTTCTTGCCTCTGATTCCTCTGAAGCCTCACTGCTTCTCCTACCAAAGTAAAGGGGAGACATCAGGGAGATGCCTCATTTATCAAATGCTGGTTGTGTGCTAGGACCCGATCTCAGCAAAGCCTTATTGGATCCTCACCTCGAGCGTTCAGAGAAGCATTTTTTTGTCTTGTATTTTTATTTATTTATTTATTTATTTATTTTTAATTTTTTTTTAAAATTTTTATTTATTTATGATAGTCACAGAGAGAGAGAGAGAGAGGCAGAGACACAGGCAGAGGGAGAAGCAGGCTTCCAAGCACCGGGAGCCTGACGTGGGATTTGATCCCGGGTCTCCAGGATCGCGCCCTGGGCCAAAGGCAGGCGCCAAACCGCTGCGCCACCCAGGGATCCCCTGTCTTGTATTTTTTAAAAAAGCATTATTGGGATATAGTCCCCATACAATTAATATACAATTTAATGTGTACAACTCAGTGGTTGTTTTTCATATATTCCCAGAGCTGTGCAACTATCACCAGGCAATTTGGGGTTGTTTTCTTTACCCCAGAAACATGTACCCTTGTGTTATCTCCTTATCTCCCCCACCCCCAGTTTAGGTACCCATTAATCTACTTTTTCTGTCTCTATAGATTTCCCCTTGTTCCGGACATTTCATAAAAATGGAGTTGTTATAGAATATATGCATTTTTGGCCTTATACTATATACTCACCTATACTCACCTGATGTTGACAAATAAAATGCCAGGTGCATTCAGAGAGGTGAAACAACCTGTCTGGGTATACATAGCTGGAAAGAAACAGAGCTGGAATTTGATCCTATATCTGATTGACCACAACCTTTCTAGAGGCTAAGGCACAGACAATGTATTAGAATTGTCAAAAGGAGCTTGATGTCCAGAGTAAAAGGGAGGCATAGTGAGTGGAGTTTCCAGGGACTTCCAGTAGGGAGTTTAGGGCATTAATCTCAGTGTTTCTTGTGACCCTCCTGCTTCTTGTAGATGCCCCAAGAAAGCCCAGCATAGACGGCTTCTCATCTGATTCCTGGTTGGAGATGGAGGAAGAGTCTTGTGAGCAGCACCCTCAAGAGGAGGAGAAGGAGGAGGAAGAAGAGGAGGAGGAGGAGGAGGAGGGTGCAGATAAGGTGCCCAAGCCTCCCGCCGATGGCCCTCCGTCACCCACCAGCACCCCTTCAGAGGACCAGGAGGCCCCTGGGAAGAAGCTCAAAGCACCTGCCATGCGGTTCCTCCAAAGGACTTTGTCTAACGAGTCAGAAGAAAGTGTGAAGTCCACGACGGTGCCCACAGACTACCCTAAGACACCCACTGGCTCTCCTGCCACGGGGGTCTCCGCCAAGTGGACCCACCTCACTGAGTTTGAGCTGAAGGGCCTGAAAGCGCTGGTGGAGAAACTGGAATCCCTCCCAGAGAACAAGAAGTGTGTCCCTGAGGGCATCGAGGACCCCCAGGCACTCCTGGAGGGTGTGAAGGTGGGCAGGGGTTCCATCTGGGCCTGGGCAGCTGAGAAGGGCTGGGTAGGCTCCCAGGGGCAGCTCACTGCAAACTGTCGTGAAGTCTCTCTGTGTGGAAGAGGGACTTCTGGTCCAAGCAAGCCTGTCTAGGGCTTCTGAGCTGAAGCCATCATTGAGAGCTAAAGGGGAAGCTGCCTCTGTAGTTGACAAGGACTTCTTTCTTAGCACTTGTTGAAAATCTGAGGCTTTACTGGCAGTAGGCATTATAGCTATACCCATAGTGAGTGCTCTTATTAGGTCTGGGGACAGACCCTTCCACCCGGGGCTGGAAGACTTGCTGTTCTGGGCTGGCTTCCCCTGGAGCATGAGTCTGTGACCAGGTTGCATATGAGCATGTTGCACATCTGGGCAGTCCTCCAGGTGCCCAGCTAAGGTGGGCCATGTAACCACCTGGGGTTCAGGGGTCTCTAAGTAGAGCCTAATTATTGAGCGTATGTTCATTGAGCACCATCTGGGCTGGCCACTGAGAGAACAGAAAGCAGAAGGCATAGTCACTGCCCTCAGGTAGCTCACCAATTAGCAGGAAAGCAAGTAGGAGAAGAAGCCAGGAGATAGGGAAAATTAAGAAGCACGTAGCATGCTGTGTGTACCCAGGGCATGGAAGTAGGGTGAAGGATACTCATCAGCCACACCAGGTGCCAAGGGCTCTGGAACAGTTACGCAGAGGGCATTTGGCTTGGCCTTTAGAGGCTGCATAGGCGTTCTCCAGATGGGGAAGGCTGTTACAGGCAGAGTGCAGATATGCAGGGTGTGCATATCCCAGGAAATAGACTGAGAGGTCTTCTGGAGTAATCATCATCATAACGTATTTGTTGAAAACTCCCTACCTGTCTGGGACCAGTGCTAGGCAAGGTACTTGAGTTGTCTGTACTTATCTGACATGGAAGTAGGTTCAGAGAGGGTAAAGGATATGCCTGAGGTGACAGAGCAAGTATTTGCCCAGGGCCCCCCATCAGGCAGTCTAACAGGGACCACCAAAAGAGGGAGCCAGCATACAAAATCATCAGTCCAGATCTATTTCACTTTATGTAGAAGGTGTTCCCTTTCAGGTGCTGGGAAAGGAAAATCTTATAACTGGGGGAAATTGCCAGCTAAAAGAACTCTGTGGTGATCGTCCCTGTAAGGCAAATCTTTACTTGCTTTGGGTCTTTTTCATTGACTCTTGACTTTTTTGGAGGTTGTTGACCTCTGTTGAGGGTTTTATGAAAATTATGAAACGGGCAAAATTTTGCATGCTGTGTCAAGGGGCCTTGGACTCCTGAGCCTGTTCCTGGACCCCAGGTTAAGAATCCCTAATCTCGTGGCATGGAGTTTTATATGTTATGTTTCCTAAAGGAGACCTTAGAATTCTGTTATGAGGCTCCTTTTTCCTTCTGAGGTCCTTTAAAGTAAAAACAAGGAATTTTCATCAATAATAAAACCATAAACAGCATTGGGGCCCCCACAATGTTGTAAATGAGTTACAAACACATTCATCTTCTGAGGAAGTATTGTTCTGTGCTTGTGGAAAGCTCTTTTTTTTTCCTTTAGAAGTATCTTTGTGTCTGTGATCTGTTTGTGTGCAGTGTTTCTGATTGGTCGGATTTCTTTCTAGATTTGGGACTTGGCCCCTCCTGTCTCTCACCTATACTCACCTGATGTGATGAGACTGGAGTCAGCTGTTGATGGTGTGGAGGAGGCCTGGGATAGGGGTTTAGATGCATTTTCAAGGAGCCCGGCCTCCTCCCTCCTCCTGTCCTCACCATGGGGTGAGTTCACTGGCAGGTTGTGATAATACTTTTCAGTGGCCATGTGCTGTTACAGGTGTTTTCCATATATAAACCTCCAGCAACCCTTGATAGTGCTTTTATTATCCTCATGTTGCAGATGAGAAAATCAAGGCACAGTTAGGTTAAGTGATTTGCCTAAGGCCACACATGCTCAGTTGGGGAGTCCTTGCACTCACTCCCTACACTGCACTGCTTTGTTTGGCTGCTGTAGAGAAATTTTTTTCCCTTCTCAGAAGCCATCCTACACTTAGGGAGAAGGTAGTAAGGGGATTGCTTTGGTGTCTTTTACAGAACAAGCAATGGTTCTGGCCATGGAACAGAGTTTGTAAATTGGCAGTCCCTGGCCAAATCAAGCCTCTAGGCATTGTTTTTGGCCTGCACAGTTTTAAACATATTTTTATAATTACTTGCCAACATTAAAATATCAGAAGAGTCATAAAAAATATCCTAGCTATCCTGGCCCATGTTCTTGACTGGCTGCAAACCACAGGAAGTGAGTAGCAGCTGACCTCATATACCCCAGTCCCCACCACTCCCTACTGCTTCCTTGAGCATGTATTTATTATTAGGTTCACACATCATATAATATAGCCACTTAGTTCATTTATTGAATTTATCTATATTTTTTAAAGACTTTATTCATTTGAGAGAGAGAGCACACGAGAGACAGCACAAGTGGGAGGGAGGAGCAAGCTCCCCACTGATCACGGAGCCTGATGTGGGGCTAGATCCCAGCCAGGACCCTGGGATCATGACCTGAGCTGAAGACAGATGCTTAACTGACTGAGCCACCCAGGCTTGAACTTACCTGTCTTTCTTTTCTTTTTATTTTTCTTTTCTTTTTCTTTTTCTTTTCTTTTCTTTTTCTTTTTCTTTTTCTTTCTTTTTCCCTAAGACACCAGAAGAGATGATTTCTCATGTACATGTTAAATTCAGCCACAAAAGAAAACAGAATTAGTCTCAAAAGTCACAGGTCCAGGGCAAAGGGCCAAAAGGGACTATTTTTTGGTATGAACAAGGTGGTTCTCTCAGAGGTGGTAGTCGTAATCAGATGGCGGTGGGTGTTGTAGATCCATTAAATCAAGTTCTAGAAAGTAGGCATGCAGTCCAACAATTTGTACCAGCGTCACTGGCCTCTGGCTTTCCTTATTTCTTCTTCCGTGGCTTTTGTCGGTACATAGGCTAATGCTTTACTTGGACCTCTGCCTCATCTTTTTTGCTTCAGTGTGCACATTGGCTTCTTCCTCCACTTGGCTGTCATGGTGCGGAGGTTTCCAGAAGATGGCGCTAAGGCCAAGAGAGCTGCAACTTGCCTTATTTTTAGAGATAAATTTATGTTCTTGAGTTTTGTCTGGGGAGGCCTTTTGCAGCTTAAAGAGCTTGTAAATTGGGTAGACAGGTCTCTTTAGAGCCCCAAGAGAACTGGAGCATCTGCTTGTGTCTCTAAATGCTGTGTGGCCAGGAGTCTGTATGGGGGAAGTGGGCCAAACATCTCTTCTGGAACAGGAGGGTTCTTGGCTGTCCAGCCTGGCCATCGGCCTTCTCAATCCCTGGATGCCCAGAAAAGAGGTGGAACCTCAGACTGACCTTCAGAGTGAGAGTGTTGTCACAGAGGATGAGCAGCTTCTTGGCTGTACTTGATGCCTTGGTTTTCTCTCTCCTCAGGTTTTGGGGTTATGTTTGCACTGGCTGAGAAATAAAACACAGGAAATGTGCAGAAATCTTAGCTAGTGCCTACTGCTGTCATTACTGTTGAGTGATTTGTGTGTCTGGCAAGTGGAGGTTCCCCTTTGGTAACTGACCAGTTTTGATCTTTGGTCCACTGCTTAATGGGATGGTTCATGGTAATGGGAACCCCTGAGACTGGAGACAGTCCCCTAAACAACTCAGTCTCCGGAGAGGTAGGTTTGGGCTTTTATCAGAAACCCATTTTTGGGGCACCTGGGTGGCTCAATTGGTTAAGTATCTGCCTTTGGCTCAGGTCATGATCCTGAGGTCCTTGGATTGAGTTCCACATCGGGCTCCCTACTCAGCAGGGAGCTTGCTGCTCCCTCTCTCTCTGCCTGCTGCTCCCCCTGCTTGTGCTCTCTCGCTCTCTGACAAATAAATAAACTCCATTAAAAAATACACTAGGGATGCCTGGGTGGCTCAGTCGGTTGGACATCTGCCTTTGGCTAGGTCATGATCCAGGGGTCCTGGGATCGAGCCCCACATTGGGCTCCCTGCTCTGTGGGGAGCTGGCTTCTCCCTTCCCTCTGCTGCTGCTCCCCCTGCATTTGTGCTCTCTCTCTCTCTCAAATAAATAAATAAAATGAAAAAAATATACTAGAATTAAAAAAACAAACCATTTTTTCTTCCATTTGTAATATATTTTTAAAAATTGTGCTAAAATGCACATAACACCATTTTGTCTTAAATTTTTTTTTGTAATATTTATTTATTTATTCATGAGAGACACACACACACACAGAGAGAGAGAGAGAGAGAGAGAGAGAGAGAGGCAGAGACAGAGGCAGAGAGAGAAGCAGGCTCCATGCAGGGAGCCCGATGTGGGACTCAATCCCAGGTCTCCAGATTCACGCCCTGGGCCGAAGGCAGGCACCCAACCACTGAGCCACCCGGGCGTCCCCCCAAAATTCTTTTTTTAAATTTACTAGATCACCACTTTAGAATCTTCAAGAGTCTTCAAGAATGTGCCATCTCAACCATTTTATTTAATTAAAAAATGTTTTTTTAAAGGGTTTTTCTTTTTTTTTTTTAATTTTTATTTATTTATGTATGATAGTCACAGAGAGAGAGAGAGGCAGAGACACAGGCAGAGGGAGAAGCAGGCTGCATGCACCGGGAGCCCGATGTGGGATTCGATCCCGGGTCTCCAGGATTGCGCCCTGGGCCAAAGGCAGGCGCCAAACCCCTGCGCAACCCAGGGATCCCTAAAAAATGTTTTTAACATTTTTTTTTATTTTTAGGTAATCTCTACATCCAGTATGGGGCTCAAATTCACAACCCTGAGATCAAGAGTCATGCACTTTCCTGACTGAGCCAGCCAGGCACCCCAACCTTAAAGTACCCAGTTTAGTGACTTAAGTACATTCACGATATTGTACAGCCCCCACCTCTGTGTGGTTCAGAACATTTTCATCACCCTGGACAGAACCCTGTCTCCACTAGTGGTCACCCCCCATTCCC